CGTTACATATTCACAATCTCTCTTAATAAGATTTTCATTTCTGTGTTTCCACTCTCTTTAATTTAAATACAAGTTACTCTTTAATTAGATCAAGACGGAACTGTATACAGTGCCACTGCAGCACTAGTCTTCTGAACAAAGAAAGAAACGAATCTTATCATTCACGTAAGTTACAGCACACTGAAGGAATTTAATTGAGATTGTCAAGACAGATATGAATAATATTAGATAATTCTAAGATATACTGAAGTATTGGCTAATAAAAAAGGATAAATATAATTTTAGCTAATTTTTAAATAAATAAAACCAGAATATATAAGATTCAGATAGAACACTCAATCCCATGAAAACCGAACGTTATTATAATAAGCAATTTGGACGAACACCATATACGTTCGCCTACACGAGCGAGATGATTTAGGACGACGCGTTCATGTTTATAAAACGAACACTGCTTAGGACGAACCCGTCAATGACAATGAGAAAAACCGAGAAAAGGAACGAGAGAGACGGAGTGAGACTGAACGCCGTGAACAGCGCTATGGGACACGACGTACGTTCAGTCAGAATCAGACCAGGAACGCCTAACTGGAAACAAACGCCTAATCTAATGATCGAGAGATCATTTAGGAACGAACGCTCAGTTTTATACTAAGCGCCACTTATGACGAACGCTGGTAACAAAACCGAGCGTACTAATACTCTTCAATTTATTTTTAGATGGTTGGACACGCTAAGCTGAGCGAACGCTCAAACCTAACTCTTCACACAAAATAACGCTCGTTCTCGATCCGAATCCTCTCCAAATGAAAGAATGTCTTACTCTAAGTTATTTTCCAGTGGAACCGGTTTTCTCTCGATCAATAACAGCTTTCTACCCAAATGAATCACTCCACGACTTTCACTAAATCTAAGATACCAAAAAGGACATCAGATTCAAACCTATAACCCATGCATGCAACCAGGATTTGGTTCGCATGAACTAAAACAGACCAAGTGCAGGGACGAGAACTTACCAGATCAGTTCTCAGTTCTGCTCGGATCGAAATGATGCTCACAGTGCTGAGGAGGTTTCTACGGTGTCTGAAATAGGATTGGAGGAATTGATAGTGAGTTATCTTAGAGAGAAGATGGAAGGGTTTAGAGAGAAGTCAGAGATGAAGAAAAGCTAGAGTTTCGTAAGGAAGAAGGTGATTGCATGCAGAGAATGGGAAGAGTTTTCCTGAAAATTCACTTCCTTCCTTCACAGAAACTAACTCCCATTCTCCACACACCACTTGTCTTCCACTAACATTCTCAGAGTGCTCTAACAGTGACACATGGCAGGCGCATGCAGTGTGAAGGTGAGTGGAGTTTTGACGTGGCACAGTGTAATAAATGATGATCAGAGAATGGATTTGTGTGCTAATTAAATCAGGTTCTCACATGTGGTCAATAGATAAAACTAGAAAGAGATTTTATTGGAGATGTTTTTATGAAATAAAATGTTGCAATATACAAGCATTTTTTTTTCTTTAATCCCAGTCACTTCACTGCTAAACATTAATTATTCTTTTGGCCAGACGAAAATTTGTAATAGATTTTATTCTATATTAATAGATTTAGAAAAAAAAATTATAAAATCAAATTTAAAATAAAATAAAAATTATATGAAAAACTTAATAAATAAAAAGTTACATTTCCTAATTAAAGTATATTGAAATAAATCATCAAAATTAAAAAAAAATTATTTATTATTTTAATTATTTAATATTTACTTATTTTAACATAAAAAGTATATTAATGTGTCAATTTATATGTTTTTTTAACTCTTCTTCGATAATTGATTATATGTTTGATGATAATTAATTATGGGTGGTTTTTAAAACTTTTCTTTGTACATTTGTAGATAAAGTTAAAAATAATCTTTTGTCTCGTTTTAATTATGCATTTAAGCTTTGGTAGTTGAGTTTTCTTAGCTTTTTTTACTTGTTCATATCTCTCTTGTTTGGGAATAAACAGGACATAAAGATTTTTTTTGAAGGACAACCATTTGTGTCTAAACAATTATGGTGATACCAAGAGCATGACCTAATGGTCAAAGGGTTTCATTCACTAAAATAGAGATAACGTTCTAGAACTAATAAAAAGGAAGTTCACTCTTTTATATTACTATTAAACACAAGTAATATTTTTACTCACAAACTTAGGGTTTAAAGATTGTTATAAGATTATAAAAGCATTATTATTATTATTATTATTTTAGTCCTAGTTGTTAACCATTCCTTTTTAAAAGATTTTACATAAAGATTAGAAGCAAATCCTTTAGAGTTATAATGAGATATGGAGAAGTTCTTCTTCTTGCATATGTTCAAGTTTGAAGATGTATTAAATATTTTACATTGGGTGTGTGCTCTTTACATAATTTTTTAAATAGGCTACATGACTTATGAAACTTAAGTCAAATAACTTTTTCCCAAATTGAATTAAAATATAGGACCTAAATAGATTGTAAAAGTAACTATTTTTAGATTTTTTTTTCTCTTTTTTTTGTTTTTATCACAATAATAATTATAATGATATCTTTTAAAAGAAGACATTGTAATTAAACTTATAGATATATAACAATACCACGTTATAAAACGTCTAATTCAATCTTTTGTTAATTCATACAATAGTACACAAACAATTAATGTTGTATCATCCAACAACAATGAATCCATGTGTAGACTTAATCCAAGAGGTTCAATCATCAACATTCACATGTAGCTTACCATCCAAAACTAGCTCACCTTTAAAGTTAAAACCATTATTCCTTCCTACTCCCCAAGAGTCTCTAGATAAAGCCTACTTCCCCTGCTTTTCCTTGAGTCTTACGGGCGAAATACACAGGTGTTACTTTCCATCACTCTCCCAAAAAGCTTCCCTAGCGAAGTTCACCTCTGGTACAGCTACGCCAAGCTCACCACTTCCCATTGCTTTGCAAAAGACCACAATTGGAGATTCTAAGGGTCAACTCCCAGGACCCCCTCACCTCTTGTTGAGACACACGCCTCCACTCTCTACTGCTATCCTAGAGACCACATGTAGAGTTCTCAGAGTGAGCTCTAAGAGCCCCTTCAAGGTCTCAGCTCCTATGGTCCCTTCACATTTGCCCGAGACACATGTTTTTCATCTGCACCATCACATCACATATGCAAACATTACATTCACAATAACACATATTCCATTTCATGTTATCAAACAATCACATAACTTAAACTCACATCATGCAATATACAATTAAGGTGATGTCACCGTCTCTAACTTAGCAAACAATTGTATTAACAACATTATCATGCAAATTGAACAATCATGACATATATATTTAATAACAGACATCCAAATATTATATGTGTTCACTGAAACTTTATTTATCATAAACCATATATTCTCACACAACCATAATTGAACCATGCCACAATTAAAATACACAACTACAATACTTTTAAAACAAAACATTTCAAACTTGAAAAGACCAACAAATTATTCTAACTTTATCCACTTAAAACATCAATGCATAAAAACAAAGCAACACAATGTCAATCTCAAAACCACTACGGTTGATAAAAACCTTTAGCCACTAAATTTACTAAAACATTATACCTTCACTAAAACATTACACCTTTAAAACTAACAATACAAAATAAAATATTACAATTTCACATGCTTCACTAAATGAAAAATACTAGACTTGTAATTTTGTTTCTACCGTCAAAACAATCAAATAATCAATCTCATTCTTGTAACCTGATACCATACATTAATAACAAAATAAATCATACAGTCCTACAACTGTTAGTCAGTTTAATTTTTAGTCCACATAAAATATTCCTAAATAAACATTAATAAGCACCCAAGTAGTTGTAATAAAAAATATTCATTCAATTTACATTGCTTAAAATTCAAAAGTTTATATAAATATAATCATATTCGTAAGGAATTTAATAAAAAAAGTGAAATCTGCATTTTATTTTTCAACACACTATAACCCAATGCACCCAAACCCAACATGAAATATTAACTGTCAAACATGTTTTTAACACAAATAAAATAATAAAATAAACATGATTATTCATACCTAAAAATATATATTATACTAACCTTAAATCCTTAAATACATATATAATAGAAAAACAAAGCTGCAACTTCCAAATTTGTTTAGAATACATCAATTTTATAATAACTATTCAAAAATAAAATACTAATTTACCATCGGATATAAATTTTCATTTATAATATATTTTAAAACATTATTATGATGTATTGTATGTAAACTATGTAATAAAAATAATTCACATGAACCGTATAATAAAATATTATACTTTACATATGTACAATAAACTACATATATAATTTTTTTTTCAAATTATATAATCCGTAATTACCTTTATACACTAATTATTTTAATAACATTTTTAATAACACTACAAATGGTAAATCAACTAAAAATAAATGTACAAAACCCATAATATTATTTAAATTGACAAAAACAGAACAACCACTAAAATAATTTTGTAACAACATACAAATACATATATATTATTTATCTTTAACAAATAAATAGACATGTAAATAAAAGAAACAACAACCGCTAAAATTATTTTAGCTTTGTCCCACTTTAACATGCATATAAAAGAATATCACCCAACAAATGATAAACTTTATCCAACCAAAACACAAATATATATAATTTAATCCAAATAAAACTACTAGAAAAGAATGTATCATAAGAAAAAACCTAATTAGCTCCCTTACCTTGATTGAAAAATTAAGATTTCAAAATGCTTTCACAAAACATTATAGGTAAGACTTAACTTTTACTCTTCAACACAACAAGGTTTTTAACCAAACAAACTATTACGACATTTTAATATAATAATAATAATAATAATTTAAATACTTATTACCATCCATTGTCTATTTTTCTTACCTACCATATCAAATTTTATAATTGTCATATCAAAATATCTTCCTCTAGATGGTCATGGAGGAAAGACATCACCATATCAAGTTGTTCAAACTCCACATTTTGACTTACTACTTAATTAATCCCACCTAACTAGCTCATTTGGTGCACAGTTTTTTGTTTATTAATCTTCTCAATGACATTTGACGTACTAAAATCAAAATCTTGGAAAATTAGAGGGCACAAATAAATAAATAAATTATTTTATTATTTTTTCCACAATTGTTTAAGAATTCTTTTAAATATATATGATAGTTAGATAAACTATTTGGGTATTTCTGGCCAACGTAAATGAATTGAAAATTTAACCCATTATCAATTTAAGAAACGACACCAAGAAAAATGTTGAATATATCATTCAACTTCCAGCCATTAATGGTTAATATTGGTTTCTTAAAAATAATCTCTGTAAATATTACATTACGTATTCTTAAATTATTTTTATCGTATTAATGAAAATATATCAGAGTTATTTTGTGCCATTTCTTAATTATTTTTTGAGTTTCTATGACGTGAAATAACTTATGTCAAAACTCATTTTATTTATTTTTTAATGTTTAATTAAATTTCTAGTTTCCATTTTGATTTTGTTCTTCCAAATTTTAAAAAGTATTTTTTAGTCTCTAAAAATTTAATAAAAAAGTTTCTAAACACTAAATTCAAAAGGACTATAAATGATTTTTTTTATTGTGTAGAGTTTAAAATTTAAAATTAGAAACTAGAATCATATTTTTCAATTGAGAGGTAAAAAGAAATATACTTAAAAGAAAAAAAAAACGAAAATTCCTCCAAATTTTAAGGATTAAAAATGTAATTAAACTTTTTATCAATTACACAAATATTCAAATTCTCAATTAATAGAAGAGATAACTGCAATAAATATAGTATTAGCAGCAACTTACAACCTTCAGAAATTATGTTTTCGTAGTATTTCAATCATGTCTATTTCAAGTCCATATGAGTATTTAAGAAATTCACTGAAAAAAATTCAATAATAATGAAATCTAAGTTAAATTTACATAAAAAAAATTTACACCATTTTTATTTTAAAATCTTATTAAAATAATAAATTTATAAGTTTTTTTTATATAAATTTTAATTTTCTCATTTCTAATAAATATTAGAATTATACTCATTTATATTCCCAACACATATGCTGGCGTATTTTTAAACAAACTATATACTAGTTTTATCAAAATATTAATCGAAATCTCATGTTAGTTATAATTGAATTTAGAAAAATGCAACAAATTGTAGTATAAAGATTATGGTAAATTCTAATATGAGAGGAAATGATGTAAATTTAAGCATCACTCTAATATACAGCATATAATTGTGAAGAGCAATATAATACAGTGGTAAAGTTGTTTCTGACTACCCTGAAAGTGATTGCTTGAGTGAATAACATTCTGAAAATAAGAGCTACAATAATAAGGTAATGGTACTTGCTAGAAAGGACCAAGTTCATCATCGAGATTCCAACTACTTATGAAAAGTTATGGGTTCTTCACTTCTTCCAGTTGCTTTAGTTCATGATACGTGGCTCTGATGAAAGCATTCGTTTCTTTTGTTGGTTCTTCTATTGCCTCTTTCAGCTTGCTCAGTGCCATGCAATAAGCTTCCTATCCAATGTTCAAATCAAACAAAACATATGATAAGGTTTTCATTTCTTAAACAATAATGTTATTTATAGATGTTTTTAACCAAGATTTTCATAAATGAACACTATTGATACCATGAAGTGATCTAACTCTGAAGTGTTTGCACCAGGTGCTAATTTGGACTTTGAATTCATCAGCTTCTTCAGTTCATCATCATCAAACACTTCTGCTTCACTTAATCCCACCTGAATTCAAATCAAACTCAAAATGATGAAGTAAAATAGATGCATACTCAAAATGTATGAATAAAGAAAAAAAAAAGCCATGACAAAGCTTTTAACCTCTTACTTCCAACATTGTTGATCATATCATCTATCACTGACTTAGACAAATAGTTGACATTAATCTAAGACAAATCCTTATATGATATATGTAACTGTTTACCCAGAATGTCTGGTCTTGTTTCCATTGCAGAAACAGTTCTGTTATTTTAAGATGAAACGATTTAGTTGTTTATTTATATAGATGCCCTCCCAAATTAAGATAAACGACAAAAGTTGTTCCATTTTAATGAATTGTTTAGATTAATGAAAAGTGAGTAAAATCTACTTATTTATGTTCATTTTTCACCCACTTTCTCTGAGTTAAAATCATTCAGAAAATTACAAGAAACAAAAACGTTTTTTCTTTCAAAAATATCATAAATTTTGCAGCTATAGCCAAAGTGAGAAATTGCTTTTCTCTGAACTGTGACATACTCTTCTCCACCATTGTCTTGTATACTATATTAAGGTTTTAAATTGTTCTAACATCATGTTTTAGATCCTGTTCATCACTCACTAAAACAAAAATATAACCATGTAGGTGACCACTGTTATACTAAAATGGAAGCTTTTTGCAATGGCCTGTGTCTTTTTCTGTTAATAGTTGACCCCGGATCATGATAATTCAACATTATTGGTTTAATGAATACATAGTTTAGGAGTGAAAAGAAAGAAAAAGAAAAGAAAATGGAGGAAATTACGTACCTTCAAGCAGTTGATGTGAGATTGAATCAAAACTTCATACAAAGGATGAGTTGCAATAATCTTCTTGAGAAGTTCTTCATTTTCTTTCCCAGCAGCAATGTTTTCACTTCCCTCAACAACAACACCCTTTTCTCGAATGTGTGTAGCTTCCATCCCTCTAGCTAGGTAGGTAGGTTTCTTACTAGAATTGCTGTTATTACTATTTCTCTTGCACCAATAGAATGAGAAAGAAAAAGAAGCAGTATTATATAGAGGAAGATGTTGTGGATAAAAGGGGTTTGTATTATGGTTATTGACCATTGAGGGTGGAAGCTAAAGTGATGAAACGTAGTTATCAAGAAGTACAAATGGGGTTACCTGCCGTATGGGTATTTCTGTTCTTCATGTTGTTAACCATTGGAGGTAAAATAAATAGTATGAAAACAAGTGCATGCATGCATGGGAAAAAGATAAAGGGTTAAAACTCTGTGTTCTCTGTGTCCCTTTTTTGCCTTGAAAGGAACTTGTCAAGGTTTATTGCTATGATTAAAGCACCTTTCAGCTCTTCAACCTTTCAGCTCTTTAACTTGTAACACCTCTTTTGGCTTTATTCTATAATTCCTCCCAAAGATTTTTACTTCATTTCATTATTTCCAAATGCTTAATAGAGAAAATTATTTTACAACACTTCTTAAAATATATATCATATATATCTTCCACATGTTTTTTGGGTTTTTCCAATCTTTCTCATCTTCTTTATGAACTATACATGCCCACATATAATAGATGGTATAATTTTTTTCTTTTTGATTGGGTTACTGTGTAAAATGGGCACGAACAGTTTTGGTCATCATCATCATCATTCCTATAATTTCAAATATGAACTGTTTAATTACAAATTAATGGTTTAAAGGAAATCTACTTAGTCCCCCACTTTTAGGATTCGGGAGGCGTAAATGAATCTCCATATATTTTAAAAAGTGAAACTATGTGTTTAGTGTTGTTATCTTTCTATGGTCTTCAACTTTTTTTAAAGAGTAAGAATGAAAACTTTATAAAAGAAATTGAAATTTTTTATTTACATGATATCAATATATTTTCTATGGAAAATTTTAAAAAATAAGATAGTTTATTTCGTAAATTAAAAAAGTGGAGTATTGACTTAAAATTTACCGTTCAAGTATAAGTTGTATGAAGTCTTGACGACTTCTAAATTGAAGTTGTCGTGAGTGAGAACAATTACTGCATAACACTTTAAAAATGTGAAATTGTCAGAACTACTTTTTCATGTTGAACAAAAGTCGTTAAGAGTGGTGATGACTTTCAATTTATAAGATGTCGTCTATGGGGTGATGACTTTCAATTGAAAATCGTTCTAACTTATGACGACTTCAGTTATGCACAGATAATTGAACTAAAGTCGTAGTCAATGATAATGACTTTCCATTATGAAATCGAGTTTGTCGAACTTCTCTTTTATTGTTGAGAAAAACCAATCTTGTCAAGCTAAAACCAAGCTTGTCAAGCTAAAACCAAGCTTGTCAAACTGAAATCAAGTATGCTAAACTTGTTGAGTTAAAATCAAACTTTTCCTTTTCTGTTTTATATATATATATATATATATATATATTCTTCTGGTGATATGTATCTATTCTTCTAATTATTTACATCCCAATAATCAAAATGCTTTGTAAACATGTTGAACAAAAGTTTTTGCTGAGTTTCCAAGTTGCAAAATCATTGATTCAGATTTTATAATAAAGAAATTCCAATGTTAGAAAATATAAATGAAACATAGTAAATGAAAAATAAAAGTATGGTATTTCATAAATAGATAAATAATGCAAATGTAAATATAAGGAGATGAAATTGCACGACTACTTTGTTGAAATTCATAATCTTTGAGCTAAAACATATTCAAATGCCTCATTTGAAATAAATCATGCATGCGTTTTAATTTTATTTTTCTAGTTTTCTGAGATGAAAAAGTATGAATTAGAAATTCAGACTCAAATAAATATTCACACTATTTTAATAATGACGTGACTGATTTATTAATATTACAAATAATTGATCTCACATGAGAAAGAAAATGATTCTGAGCAATCTAAATAAAAGCCGTTTTGGACCTAAATTGGAATTGGGCTCAATTAGGTGCTAAATCAAACTTGGATGGGCTATTTGCTAATATTTGCTAATGGGCCTGACCCACTACAGAACCTACATTTTGAAATATTTGTCCCACACTTTCTTCATCACAAATCTCACGGTTTTTTAATTGCTATTAAATTATAAGACTTGAATCTTTCACTAAAACTCGAGGAAGAATAAAATAAATAAAGAAAATAGGTAACAAATAAAATAGAACATAAATGTGTTTGATTAAAGAGAAATAGACAAGTGATGAAGTGAAAAAATAGATAATGCATTGGGTTAATGAGTTTGATTAGGAATCTATTACTTCATAAGAGATTGGAAGCAAGTACAAAATGTTTAAGTCATAACTTATAAAATAATGTCAATAATATGTCACTTTTATTATAATTAATCAGATTTAAGTTAGAAAGAGATATTATATTTTGTAAATTGTACTTAATTGAAGGAAAAAAAATGTATTACATGATTTCAAAATATTTGGAGATTTAGTTAATAAACTTCTTAAGAATTCAAATTTTTTATAACTAAGAAATATAATAGAAACTTCAAGTATTGGGATAATTAATCCTAATTTCTCGACCCTAAGCAAGGAATAAAAAAATTATAAATTCATTGATTTATCATAAAGTTTTCATTTTTGTATATTTATAATTTTTTTTATTCTTATTGACTTAAACTAAAAAAAAGACATTATTCATGGAACTAAATCTCTTTTCACAGATAATCAATCATTTAAGATTTGCAGGCAAACTCAAGCTTTAAGAAAATCAATTTATGCACATTTTATTATAGAAACACATAAATATTTAACAAAATATCTACTTTAAGGTTAAGATCGAAACAAAAATCTCAATGTTTCTATTCTCTCTTATATATTGTTAAGAAAATTTTCATATATATAATTTAATTAATGTTCTTGGATTTTGAGCATGAACTTTACGGACTCGTGACAAGATCCTAATGATAATTTGATTATTTCTTTTGTTTGGTGAATGCTTCCTTGTTGTTGAGAGGAGAAATTCACTTATAAAGACTCTTTGATGCTCAAGTTTGATGGCATACTCTCTAACCATGACCAAACACTTTCAAGAAGACTTGAAGTCATATGTGGGAGATGGGTCTATACTCTATCTTTTGGGCCATCTTGAATCATCATGAAGCTTTTAGAGTAAGAATAATTTTGGATCTTGAATTTTTGGCCAAGTACTCTAGGATTTATTTGGGCTTTGAATTATGGGTTTAGTAGTGCAGGATTTATTTTGAGCCTTGTATTTTGGACCAAGTAGAATATGGTTTTGACCACTCAAGTCAACAAAGGGCCAAGGCCCAATGTTGACCAAAGTAGGACACAAATTTGGCTTAGTTAACCAAGGAATCAAAGTTTTCATCTAACCTGGTGGATAAGGAGAGTGAGTTGTCCACGCCATGTGTCCTCCTCCCTATGAGAATTTTTCATCCTAGTTAGTAGTCACATGTCACTTTAGGAATGGAGAGGATTCTCTATAGATAGTGGCCATATGGTCCCCTCTCATTGGAGAGGATTTTTGCCATTTGTCTTTTTCTTAATGAAGAGGATTTTCTCCCTACTCTCTAAGTTAGCCAAGATATGGTTTTTAGGTCTAGTTTCTATAAATTAGGAGACTCCCTTAGCCTATAAATAGATGTGCCTCTCACTCTTGTATTCATCTTTGATTTAGAGTAAAGTTATGCTGTTATTTTTGTATCATACTACTCCTATTAGGTAACCCTAGGCTAGAGCAACCCAAGTGGCCTCCTATAGCCACCTTTCTCCAAGAGTTGGCTCAACCTTTCTTAGAGCATCACTAAATACCACCTCCATCACCATAAAATAACTCATGACCAAGAGCCTTAGGCTTTGTTCACTTGAATGGATTTGAGGGAGAGTAATTGAATGAATTTGAGAGGATTTAAAGGTAAATTTTTTATTGTTTATTTGAGTGGATTTGGAGGTAAGTAAAAATAGATTTGAAAGTAAAATTTGTAAGAATTAATATAAGATTTGAAAATAAAGTCTGTAAAAATTAGTATATATTATATTAGACCTTGAACCTACTTGCGTGGCTTGAAGATTCCAACGACTGCAAATTCAATATATATAATATTCAAATTATGAAATATGAATACAACGACCGCAAAAAAGTTGTCCTTTTTAAGGTAGATTCCAGATCTGTTTGGAAGCTTCCACCATTGTGAAAACTATGAAAATAAAAGAACCAAAAGGAGTTAATTATAATTTTTCAAAAAGCAGAGTAGGCTCGTAGCATTGACCAGAGCGAAGGTTGTTAGTTTATAGCACGTGCATAATCGACCAACCACCACCTTTTGGTTCTCTCCATCTATAAACATTTAAATACATTGCTTCTTGCTTATTCTCCAGTACTACAAATTATTTGAATGGCTCCGGAAGCTGATGAACCTGTCATTCCTCTTCTTACGCCCTACAAATTGGGTAAATTCAATTTGTCTCATAGGTATTATTATTCACACGCATCGTGGTCTAAGACTGATTTTAAATTCAACATTAAATGTATGTATTTTTTAATTTCAAATTTGGGTTATTTTTCTTTGTAAATTCAGAGTTGTTTTGGCACCGTTGACGAGACAGAGATCATACAGTAATGTTCCTCAGCCTCATGCCATATTGTATTACTCTCAGAGAACTTCTCCAGGAGGACTTTTGATAAGTGAAGCTACTGGCGTCTCTGACACTGCTCAAGGGTAACTTTTTTTTCTGTTACCTTTAATTCATGAATGAAAAACAACACAGCTTTTGATGCCATTTTCTTACTTTTATTATCTATATGAAGATTGATACACACACCAGGTATATGGACAAAAGAGCAAGTTGAAGCATGGAAACCCATCGTCGATGCCGTTCATGCCAAAGGCGGTGTCTTCTTTTGCCAGATTTGGCACGTTGGGAGGGTCTCAACTACAGGTCAAGTTCATTCCTCATCAAATTTAAATGCTCAATTCTGTTTACACTCAGATTCCCTTTAGATGCCGTGCTTTTATTT